TTTGCATTTAATTTATTTAGCATTATGCATATAGAAATAGATTTATTTTTAAGTCCCGGACATGCATGCATTATTTTGTTTCTATATTTTATACTAACTTATTTTTTTAGTGTTTTTAGTTTTAGGTAAAGCTTATGGGGAGATTAGAGGAAGCGCAAAGATCCTTCGATCTCGATTTGAAATCTAAGGTAAGTGATTTAATATTAGTTTATGGTTTTTCCTAAACATATATATACTAATATTATTTTAAAATCTTTTAGATTCATACGAGAGGGAGTGGCCTGATGATCGGACGACCGAATACATCATAGGGAGTAATTTGTCCCCTTCTTTTTATATTTATGCATTTAAGTTAATTTATTTTAACATTATGCATCTAGAAATAGATTTATTTGTAAGTCCCGGGACATGCATGCATTAATTTTGTTTTTAATTTTTTTACTAACTTATTCTTTTTGGTTCTTGTTTGTAGGTAAAAGCCTTATGGGGAGATTAGAGGAAGCCACAAAGATCCTCCGATCTTGATTTCAATCCAAGGTACGTGATTTTTGTTTAATATTATTTTATTGTTTCCTATGCATATATATACTAATATCTATTTTAAATCTTTTTAGATGCATACGAGAGGGAGTGGCCGGATGATCGGATGACCGAATACATCATAGGGAGTAATTCGTCCCCTTCGTTTTACATTTATGCATTTAATTTATTTTACCATTATGCATATAGAAATAGATTTATTTTTAAGTCCCGGGACATGCATGCATTAATTTTGTTTTCTTTATTTTATACTAACTTATTTTTTTAGGTTTTTAGTTTTGTAGGTAAAGCTTATGCGGATATTCAAGGAAGCGCAAGGAAACTTCGATCTCGATTTCAATCCAAGGTAAATGATTTTAATATATTTTTTTGTTTTCCTATTGCATATATATATACTAATCTATTTAACTCTTTTTAGATGCATACGAGAGGGACTAGCCGGATGATCGGACGACCGAATACACCATAGGGAGTAATTCGTCCCCTTCTTTTTACATTTATGCATTTAATTTATTTTAGCATTATGCATATAGAAATAGATTTATTTTTAGTCCCGGGACATGCATGCATTAATTTTGTTTCTATATTTTATACTAACTTATTTTTTTAGTGTTCTTAGTTTGTAGGTAAAGCTTATGGGGAGATTAGAGAAAGCGCAAAGATCTTTCGATTTCGATTTCAAATCCAAGGTAAGTGATTTTTATATTATTTTGTTGTTTCCTATGCATATATATACTAATATCTATTTTAAATCCTTTTAGATGTATACGAGAGAGAGTGGCTGGATGATCGGACGACCGAATACATCATAGGGAGTAATTTGTCCCCTTCTTTTTACATTTATGCATTTAATTTATTTTTAAGTCACGGGACAGGCATGATTTATTTTGTTTCTATATTTTATACTAACTTTTTTTAGTGTTTTTAGTTTGTAGGTAAAGCTTATGGGGAGATTCGAGAAAGCGGAAAGATCTTTCAATCTCGATTTCAAATCCAAGGTAAGTGATTTTAATATTATTATGTTGTTTCCTATGAATATATACTAATATCTATTTTAAATCTTTTTAGATGCATACGAGAGGGAGTGGCCGGATGATCGGATGACCGAATACATCATAGGGAGTAATTCGTCCCCTTATTTTTACATTTATGCATTTAATTTATTTTACCATTATGCATATAAAAATAGATTTATTTTTAAGTCCCGGGACATGCATGCATTAATTTTGTTTCTATATTTTATACTAACTTATTTTTTTAGTGTTTTTAGTTTGTAGGTAAAGCTTATGGGGAGATTCGAGGAAGCGCCAAGATCGTTCGATCTCGATTTCAAATCCAAGGTAAGTGATTTTAATATTATTTTGTTGTTTCCTATGCATATATATACTAATATCTATTTTAAATCTTTTTAGATACATACGAGAGGGAGTGGCGGATGATCGGACGACCGAATACATCATAGGGAGTAATTCGTCCCCTTCTTTTTACATTTATGCATTTAATTTATTTTTAAGTCCCGGGACATGCATGCATTAATTTTGTTTCTATATTTTATACTAACTTATTTTTTTAGTGTTTTTAGTTTGTAGGTAAAGCTTATGGGGAGATTCGAGGAAGCGGAAAGATTCTTCGATCTCGATTTCAAATCCAAGGTAAGTGATTTAATATTATTTTATTGTTTCCTATGCATATATATACTAATATTTATTTTAAATCTTTTTTAGATGCATACGAGACGGAGTGGCCGGATGATCGGACGACCGAATACATAATATGGAGTATTTCGTTCTTTTTCTTTTACATTTATGTTTTGCATTTATTATAGCATCTTGCATATAGTAATAGAATCATATTTACGTCCCGGGACTTGCATGCATTAATTTTTTTTAAAATTTTTAATTATCAAATAACATATTTTTTTTCCTAATTATATCAATTTAGACTAATATAACTTATTTTCTAATAAAAAAAATACAAAACTTAATTAAACTTAATATTTAAATGTGGGCTGGCCTGGCCCGGTATAATTTGAAACCGGGCCATGCCTTGTTTTGGGTTTTCAAGCCCAATCCAAAATCAGGCCGGTCCTTTCGGGCTTGAATTTTAAAACAACCCGAGAGAAACCAAAAAAATATTACTCTTTCCCTAGCAAAAATGCACTGATTTTTTGCGTGTCGGAATGAGTAATATCAGCCTGAAATTGCCACACTTTTTTTACTAAATATGATGTCAACTTTCTCAAATTATGGAAGCAACATACCTTAAAATTTGAATCCACCGATATGCTGAAGCCTTTTCCTTTATATCCGTTGATATGTTGAAGTCTTTTCCAACAATCCATTTGTATCGAATTGCAATGGTGCTGCACTAGAGAAGCCATTTCCCAATGCTTCCACATATACCTACTGGAAGTAAGAGATTAAGTAAAAAAATAAAAATCATGATTACACTGGTCTTTTATATAACTGTTATTATGAAATTTCCAAAGCATTATTATTACAAAATACAGTTTATCAAATTCTTTAAACTAAGACTATTTAATACCAACTCACAAACAATCTATTCATATCATCTTTAATGTGCCAACATAGCATAATTCATGGGAAAGAAACAAATGCCCGTTAGAAAATTATTAAGCACAACATTACAACTATTTTGATCGTTATAAATAAAATTTGACCCCTCTGCCTTACGAAAATATGTTCAACAATTAGTGGACAACAAATTAATATTCACACATATACATACACATGAATACTGGAATTTTAAAATTGTAATTATATTGCAAGCCTATATAGGTAGTGCTCATATTCAACTAGAATGTTGCTACTTGTAGTACAAATGGCGGCAACTGTTCTTGTGGCTTTTATGTTCAAATCAATGATCAAAAACTGTCAACGCTCTGTAAATATGGGCTCAACTGTATATAAATAATTATTATAATAACATATACAATTAAGATAGGTATTACCTTATACATAAGATATATGTGTGTCCTTTATAAATTTTCATTCATTCTACGTAAACACTCAACAAATTCACTATTTAATAGTACTCAAACTAGGACACACGTGAGTATTCTGTTAGTAATAACTCGTAAGCAATTCCTTACAAGAAAATTCAATAAATAATTCTATAAGTAAATTACTCATGACATCAATCACGAAATTTCATCCTTGACTAATTTGCACACATAATTATAGTTATTTTACAATTTCTTACTAAACTATGCACAATAACTTGACTATGTTTCTAACTTTCTATAAACTAATGGATATATAGGATCAAGCAAAAACCGTGGCATGATAAATTGACATTTTAAGGTGCAGAAATTTGAAAAAATTACACCACATGAAGTGAAAGAATCGACCTTTGATGCAATTAACTATATATTTCAACTTTATAAAAATGTAGTGCACCTAGTAAAACATAAATTTATCAATCGAAAATAAATGCTATCTTCTTCATTTAACATGATGGAAATTACAAAACCGAAGCATATTTGATGCCTACATGTAGATTTCCAAGTTGCAAATGGTGAATGATTAGAATACGATAGACACCATATTAGCACATTGCAATAGCTTAATCCACTAAAGTTTTAAGAATCTCATTATTATATAAACTTCATTCAATCTACTTTCTTGCTTAGGAACATAATCTTATATTATATATCTCAAATGGGGGTAGAAAATAAAAATTTCACAAAAAAAAAAGTTAAAATACTTACAATTACATCCATAAAAGGAATAAAATAGAATTGATGGCATATGATGTACTTCTGACTTCAAATTTTCTATCGGTATCTGCACCCATACAAGATAAACAAACATGATTCAGTAGTTAGTAACTGTAATGAATGTCATGAGATCATATCATTTATACGAGGGGTTGAAGTGGAAGAGAGAAATCAACTAAACTCGCCAAAACGGTTCAAACCGCCAGTTACGGTTTGTCAAAATATCAAATCGAAACCGAACCTTCCAAATAACGGTTTTGGTTACGGTTTGACGGTTTCGATTACGATTTATAAACCGCCGGTTTCAATTTAAAACCGTCGATTACAGTTTGAACCGCCGGTTTATATATATTCATTTTTAATATTTTCCTTTTTTATTTTCTATTTTTCTAAATTTGAATTTAATTAAAATTTATTAAGTTTGATATCAATTTTATTCAGATATATTTATTATTTATTTATTATGTAAAAATCATATATATAAATAAATAATTAAATTATTACATTATAAAAATAATTTAAATAATAAATATAGTAAATAATTAAATTAAATTTTAAATAAAAAAAGAACATAAAAATAAATGTAAAAATATTGATATGATAAAAAATTACAAAACTTAAATATATAAATAGTATTATTTTTTTAATATTATTAATAACTATTGATATTTATTAAGATTAATATTATTTTTATATTTAGAAAAGTTTAATAATATATATATATAAAAAATTAATCATAATTATAATATCATTATTATTAATATACACAATTTACCCTAAATTCCTAATCAATAATACATTTACACATACTATATCATCATCGACAGCAGACGGCAGCCGCGCCAACAGGTTTTCCTTTTCTTTTCTTTTCGGTCTTCCTGTTCCCTCCTCCCTCTTTCCTCTTTTTTTTCTTCTTCTTTGCCTAGCCTCCCTGTGAGTGGTGAGAGATTTTTTTAAAAAAAAATAATATAAACCGCGGGTTCAAACCGTTACGATTTGGAAAATTCACAAACCGAAACCGAACCGTGGGATGACAATTTCGGTTCGGTTTGTGCCGGATTTCGATTTGAACCGTAACCGTCGGTTCAAAAATCGGCAAACCGAAGGTTCGAAACCGAATGGGCAAGTCTAAAATCAACCTTATTCCATTCTAAATCAAAAAAGATCTCTGGACATATATAGTGATAATTAACCATGAATTGGTCTAACAAATTTACAAAACAATATCTATCATGCAGAAATTTCGTAAATTTAATTAAAAATTCCACATTGTTAGGTATATGGCAGTAATCTCTAAATAAAAGAACCACGAAGAATAAAATAAATTTTAAACAAACCTTTCGACGAAACTTAACAAAGCAAGTTGAAATATTAAAATTGCAACACCTGATTGTGAATAATAGCTTAAATCAATTGGCACTTAGAGAACATAGAATTTCACTTCCTTCGTACATAATTTAAACAATATTTTACAGAGCAACACATTATTCACAAATCCCTATATACTACTTTCATAATAGGTATGCAATATGTGTTTCTTAAAAAGTTCACTACCAGCGGACTAATGTTTCAAAATATATTTTCATGAATTCAAACATCAAGTATAACTTTCATCATAAATAGGCCGTTTGAAATAAACCACTAAAACATTGGTCTTTGCATGAAAATAACAAACAAAGTGGCATGAAACGATATTTCTAGAAGTTCCCTAACAAACATATCATATTATCCTTCTTATGCATGCATCTGCATTATCAACGTCAAGAGGCTAAACAACAGCAAACATTTGAAGAGTAACGGAAATTAACCAACTTCACCAACAGTTAAGACTCATGACTACTCACTTGAACTATTAGTAGTACTACTATAGCTCTTTCTTTATTATAAATTGTAAGCATGGCAAAGAGATTAAGGAAACTTCACCTTCTTCTTCGGTAGATGCCATAAGCAATAGTAGCAGCTGAAGTGATGCTCAATATAATAACCACAATCCAGGTGGCATCTTTTTTTTATTTAACTTTAACTGTATCAAGTCCACTTGGTGGGTTGTGGCTATCAAATAAGGCCACACTTGATTTGCCAATAGTAGTACCCATTTGGCCCCTGATTTAATTAATAATGCATATAATTTGTAAGATAAGAAGGGGAGGAGAAGAGAACATATATATTCAGAGAGAATTGCTAAACCTCCAAAGCTTCTCAACGATTTCACCCTTTAGGATATGTTCCTCAACTAATTCAAGAACATCCTTAGCCGTGATGTATCCACACCTGCGTGATTAGAGTAAAAAAAAATAGTTATTTATGATCAATCCTCGCAGAATAACATACCACAAATGTATGTTTCTATAATTACAGACCATGAACACATATTATGGTGCATCAAATATCTAACATAAATCCATCAAAACTTATACATATATACTGTAATTAAAATTAAGCGAAATATTCTCTGCAGAAGGATAATAAAATATAGCAAGCCATAAAATCTTGGTCTCACCAATTGGCAATTGCAATCAATCTTTTCCTCAAAATTAAGACCGGAAATAATCACATTGCCTACAAAGCTTCTTGTTTCCTCGTATGTGTGAATAGTCAATCCCCTAAAGATGAAAGATCTATGCAACTCAACAAATTCAAGCAAAAACACAAATTCAAAGTTCTATTGAATCAGTCACGATTACTCCAAGAATATGAATCCAATTTCACTCACACAAATGTTGCCAATTCAACATCATATTTAGAAACGTATTTGAAATCTTTGGGAGCAAAAATTGAAATAAAACAATCTTGCTCAAGATGTCCATTGTCAAGATTGTTTTCCATAGAAATGCAAGAAGAATTGGTGCACATAAGGCACAGCCAACAGCATATACCTTAGACCAGGAACAGTGAGTCGCCTTGGAACTGTTAATGGCAAGTGCATTAGAGAACATAGCTTCAAAAATGAAAACAATGGCCGATGTGCTTCCGTATCTTCCTCATTCCATCTCCACAGATTCTTGTCTCCGTCATATTGCCACATTAGTAGCGCACATCCACTGCAGCAACGAAGCATGTGACTGCGCATTACTCTCGGTTTCAACCTCAAGCAATGAGCTAAACATGGACTCATCCTCTTGATTTCCCATGGAAAACAGACTTCCTACAACTGGAAGCAATGGAGTAAACGCATCCAATTTCAGCCTTTGGGTATGGGTCCTCAACAGTTCATTAGCAGCAACGACAAAGGCATATACTACATAAATCGATACAAAAGCAATAGCAGCCCACACAGTCACTTTACCAACAAACAAGATTAATGAAAGGGCCGTAAGTGTAAAGATGAAAAACAAAATATCCCTTACAAAACACTTGTTATCAATCTGGACGTCCTGTTGCGCAACACAAAGTGAAACAGCCCCAACAACGATGCAAGTAACAAAGACTGCTCCTCCGAGCACACTGTTGAGCCCAACCTCCCCGGCTCCAGTCCCTACAAAAGCCGCAAAACTAGCAAATACATCAGGAGCACCAAGCAGAGTGACTCCAGCAACAGTTGGAGGGAGAGAGCTTCAACAGACTGGAAAGCTTCTCCAAAGAAATACAGAAATAATCGGCTGCCTGCCGTATTGCCTAATAGATAGAACAATGCAGCAAGCCAGACACCAAATACCAAAAAAGTCCATCCACTCTCATGGCAGTCACAATAGTAGAACTTAAGGTATTCCAAAAATCCTTGTGATTTACACTGACTGAGGGCGTGATTTCAAGAGCTCACAGCTACTATTGTATCCCTTGTGATCATAACAAAGTATAGAGTCTTCCACATCCATGGAATTAGAATCGGATGAATTTAGATTAATTGAAAACTGAGGGCTAAGCTCCATTATTTCCCTTCTAATACCTGAAAACCCCTTATCTAAACTTGGAGCATAGAAGAACAATAATTGATTTCATGCCTGTTGAAAATGCCACTTTATAGGATATAAACTATCGTCAATCTAGTTTAAGTTCATCTATGTCGCAAAGTCTAATCTTATGTGTACGAGGAACAACAAAGTAATGAAGAAAATGGTTTGAAGAAACACAAAAAGAGGCCGCATATTCAAGGAAGGTATAATCCAATGTCGATATGTAGAAACAAGAGTAAAGCACAATTGAAGTGATGACTACGAATCCCACCTGTGAGTAATAGGATGTAAGAGTCTCCGCGTGCCGATAGAAATTTGATGGTTTCCGCAACTTTCTCTAAGCACTCCTTGCTCTAACAACAAAAATTTAATGAACGCAAACGAGAGATAGTTTGCTTTCTTAAGTGACTATTCAGCTATTTACAATTCCATCTGATGAAAAATTCTAAGGACATCGTTCATACGAAGTGACATCACATACCCTTTTATCATAGCACTCAAACAAAAAATATCGGGCTCGACTCCATCATCAACCATTTGCTTGAACAGGCACCTTATTGTCTCAATATACATTCGGTTAATATAGTTGTTCGTCCTGCGGCTCAGAAATGCTGCAAACAATATGTTATAGGTACGAATCGACGGCCGGCAATCTAAATTCCGGGAAGCACGCATATGCTTGTATATATTCACAGCCCTAACAAGCTTCCTATCCTCAATGAAGTAATATATCATGGTATTGAAAAGAGGCTCAGAGCCCAGGTTAGGGATAGCTAGAACCTGATTGACGATATCGTCCATTTCCTTGTACATTTTGGCCGCACCGAGCTTTTGGATCGTGACGTGATAGGTGAACACGGTGTGCCTGAATCTGTGCTGCTGAGACGCCCAATTGAAGCACACCAATGGATCGTCCTGTTCGATTATCACATTGTGGAGATCCTCCGGGGTGAACCTAGGCAGCAGCTGAGATACACATTTTTGGAAAACTGTTTTGTCTAGAACAGGTTTTGCTGCCAATCTAGCTCTTCTGTTGATTCGCTTGCGCAGTGATCTCGAAATCGGACCGCTGTATATCCTTGTGGAAGTGGAATATAAGGAAACGCACGATCCTGTACTGGAGATCGGAGTTCCAGGGTTTTCAACGATGCGCGAACGGAGAATTGCTGGGGAAATGCAGGTAGGAGATGAAATTGAGCGATTTGGAGATGTAATTGAAAGGGGAATGTGAAAGTAATCGAAGAAATTGAAAATTGGTTCTTACTCTGTTGCAACCGATACCTGACTTGAGCGAACATGGTGGAACTTCGAATGTGAGCTTTCACGAACTGTATTTGACCCAAAATTTTCGACTAACGACTTACAAAACCTACAAGCAAAACTGGTGTTAGAGAATAAACTTGGCCATGTTTGTTTGTTGGTGCGATTTTCTGTGCACCCTAGCTACCGGAAAAACTTGGGCAAAGAGGTCTGAAACGGAAGCGCCGGCGACCGGAGACCACCGGTAGGAGAAGCAAAGAAAATGAAAAAATAGATGAGGAAAATGTTAAAACATACTCGATTTCCTAGTAAACGGAAGCACAATCAGAGGGAAATGAAGAAAGAGAGGGAAATTAAAAAAAGCCGCACCGGATACTCCAGCGGGCGGCGGCGGCGGCGCAACTTAGAAGAAAAGGAAAGAAAAAAGAGAAGAGGGGGAGAAAGTAAGGAAGAAAGAAAGAAAACGAAGAAGAAGAAACGGCGGAGGGCAAGGTGGGTGACGGCGGCGCGGCGCGTGAATTGGATTGTTGGAGTGATTTGATTTGGTAACAATTTATCTATTTTTGTTTTTTAATAATTATTTAATATTATAAATATTTTTTAATTTACATAAATATAAAATGGAGAGTATTATATTATAAGCATATAAATAATTATGATTTATATATAAATAATAATATAAGAATTAGGCTGCCAGCTATACACAACACCCATCTGATGAAAAATCCTAAGGGTATCGTTCGTATGAACCGGTTGTGCGTACATCATTTCATTTTAAGAAAATAAATTTTTCGCCATTAAATCTTTTTTTTTTTTTTTGTTAGCAATGATATTAGTGACTATTAAAGATTGGTTGCGTTAGCTATGTGAATTTTAGAGACGAAATTTCGATTACAAATATGCTATTTTTTATATAGTATTTATATTAATATTTACAAATGTAACACAAAATTAAGAGCACATGCCATAATTTTCACTAATTAGAAATTTAATAGTAAATAATTAATATTTTATATATAAAATTCAAGCTTCTGATTTGAAGTATATATACTTTAGCGAAATAATTATTTTTATATCCTTTAATAAAAAGTAATGAAAATATTTCTCTTTATTTAAATATAATTAACGTCATTATAATTGTCATTTTCTTAAATATTGGGCATCAATATACATTCCCTGAAGTTATAAATTGTGTTAACTTAAATTTATTTCTCAAGCATAACGCTAATCGTGTCTAAAAATATATTGTAATTACATTTTTTTAATTTACTTTTTATAGTATTAATTATACTGTAAATTATAGTACTCCGACCGTCTCATTGAAAGGTTGTCATTTTTCATTTTGTCCGTCCCAAAATAAGGTTATCATTTCCTAATTTAGTAATTGTACTATCTACCTAACATAATATATATCCTTCCAACTTATGCTATATTACACAAATGTCATTACTTTTATATTACACAATACTAATAGGCGCATTTTCATTTTTTTTTCACTACAACTCATTATAATACTAATATTTAAAAATCTACATGCAAAAAGTAAACGGCAACCTTGCACTGGACGGAGGAAGTATATTCATTAAAAATATATATATCATATTTAATATTTTATATTTAAAATTTATTTTATTTAAAACACTCTCACTTAAATATCATTATATATTTATTTATATGGCAAAGCACCCAAATTGTGAATAATTCTCTATTGTTAACCATAGCCTTCAAAAGCCCATAAAGTTCAAAGCCATTAAACTATTAATGGATACGTTTGATTGTGGTTTCGTAACATTGATTTATTTACAAAATTTTTAAAATGAATAAAAATAAAAAAAATTATTTTCAATAGTCAATTATAAAAGTTCAAAATACTGAGTGTGCTTGTTCGAATGATTTGCAAAGATTTATACTCCCTCAAACATTTCTTTTTTGATATATCTCAAACACTCTGGAATATTTCCAAAATAGGAAATAATTAATTATACTTAATATCTACACTACACTTTATCCCCTCACATCATCCAAATAAAAATAAAATAAAATATATATTTCTCTCTCCATCACATAACATAATTTCTAAATTATCATACTTAATAGTACTCACCTAAAAACCCGTGGCAAAAGTAGAAAATAGGGACAAATTATGTGGGACGAACGAAAATAGAAAATAAGGACAAATTATGTGGGACGGAGGGAGTATTTAAAAATCACATTAGTATGACAATATCAACTTATATCATATCAAATGATTATTCAAATTTAAATTTTAATTATTAAAAAATTCAAACAAAAAAATCAAACCTGCAAATAAACATTGGTCTAGCATTTCTTTTCAAAAATACTTATCAAATGCCAATTTTTTTTATTAAAATATCATATTCATTACCTATTTATATTATATCAAACATTTTTTTTATTCTATTTCTTTTTTTTTTTTTTATTTCATATTTCCTAATCAACTTAAAACTCCAAAATATTTTTCAAAACATATTTCTTAACGTAATTTTAATATAGAAAGCATTTAATATTATGACATATAAGCACCGTTTACTTGATTTCAAATTCTTTACTTTACTATTTTTTATAACTTTTTATAAATTATACTCCCTCCGTCTCAATACAATAGTCTTGTTTACCATTTTTGTCCGTCCCAAAACAATACTCTTATTTTCATAAATAACCATATCACCATAAAATTATCTATACTTTTTCATTTTTATTATACATTTGTCACTGATTTTTACACTAATACATTCGCAGGGCCAAAAAAGTCTTTTATCTATATTTTTTACTAACTATCAATATAGTATTAATATCTTTAAATCTCGTGTCAACCTAATTAGACTATAGTTTTGGACGGATGGAGTACTATTATTTACATACACTAAATATAAAAATCAAATTACTATTCATACCTAAAAAAATTATAATAAAAACTCAAACAAACGCGTAATAGTTTGGTACTCAGACCAAAAAAATTATGATATAAACACACTGTGGTGTATATATATCAACACTTTATATTATTAATTATAATATCAAAATTAAAAATACATAATAATAATAATAACAACAATCAACAATAATAATATAATAATTTGAAATCAGATGATTACTATAATTATTCATTTAAAATAGAATTATTCCTTTAAATAAATCTTACATATCTTTCTTGCGATTCATGGATTTGTTTGGTTTGTATTTCAACTTACTATATTTAATATTCGTTTGCATGATTTTAATAAAATTATTATTTATTTTTATAAAATATTATTTAAATTCAAATTCAAATAAAAAATATATATTAAATCTTATTTTTATAATTCTGAATGTTGTGCAGTATCTTAAAACCTAAAGGTTTAGTAATTATTCCCAAGGAAGAAGACGAAAGTGGCCTACTCCCATGTTGCCCCAACTATTCTAGTACGTCCATTTTCAACAAGGTATATATTTGGGTATAAAATATTTAGGATTTATTCTTTTTCTTAAAACAAAATAATATAAATAATTATTATTTTATATTATTTACAGAATTTTTCTATCTAAAATAAAAAATTATATATTATTTTAAACTATTTGACAAAACAAACATACTCTTAATTAAATTACATATCTCAGTTCACCAATAGAACAAGTTTAGTCATAATTCTTAAGTAGTATTAGTGAAAAAATCTAACAAATTTTAATATATGTACATACAACAATTATACATTATTAAAAAAATAAAATCATAATTCAATTAAAAGAACTAAACATTTCATTTATTGTACTCCCTCCGTCTCATATCTATATATCCATTTGCTTTTTGCACAAAGTTTTAAAAATATTAGTTTTATATTAGGATAAAGTAGAAATAAAGATAAAAAGACTAAATTAACTATTGTATTACATAAAGGTAATGACATTTGTGTAATATATTGTAATTGGAAGGGTATTTGTAATGTTAGGCAGATAATACAATTACTAAAAAAAAAAGAAATAAATACTTTGTTACGGGACAACAAAATAGAAAAATAGATAGATTGTTAAGAGACGGAGGAAGTATTACTGAATTATTTTTTTTATTTATTTTTATATATAACACTTAAAACTAAACACAAACACTTTAATACTCAGATTTTTTAGATCTAACTGGTGAGACAGTTAAGATTTTTATTAAAAAATATGTAATTTAGTTTCTAAACAATATGAAAAATAAATTCAAAATATAAGTAAAGAACCTTTAATTGATGGGTTTTATTTTGTTACTATTTTGAATTCAAATCAATATTATTTATAACATAATTTTTATTAAAAATATACTATTAATTTTTTAATAAAGTATAAAATATCACATCAAAATACTAACTGAAAAAAGAAAATGGCAGATCTAACACATTATTTCAAATAAAGTTAAAAAACACAACCAAACAAACCCAATGAATTGAAGTTAAATTTGTAGACCCTTAATATGTTTATACAATTCAGGAGATATTACTTCATGAAGAAAATCGAAGCCGTCGCTACATTTCTTCATCGTACGTCTCACATTGTCCTAATAAATACAAGGCGGCAGATACAGTGTTGACCCTCGGAACACATCGCAAATGCGATTGCGACCGAGTCGAAGAGGATATTGTCGGGACGCTTAGAGAGAGCATTTCGTGGCAAATCGAGTCGATACCGTCGATAGCGACCCCATTGATGGACGGTTACGATCATCAACAAGATACGTGGATGTTAATTCGGGGGAACGATATTGTCGGAAAGAAAAGATTAGCCGTCGTAATAGCGAAGGCGGTATTCGGTTCTTCGGATTTTTTATTCTGTTTGGACCCGAAGAATAATTGCCCGTTTACGGTGTCTGAGAACTCGGCCGCGCTCGAAATGGCGTTGCGGAGCGTCGGAAAGCTCATCGTGTTGGTCGAAAATGTCGATTCGGCTGATCCCGGGTTTTTTAGGTTTCTCGCCGATATTTTGGAGGGGCGAAAGCGTCGTACGTGGACACGTGTTATATTTATATTGACAATATACGGCGACGGCGATTATGACACGTGGGTGTAATAAGTTTGGGGATGACGATGTAGTATCGACTGTCATTTCGATGAAACTCATTGTCTATAAATCGAAATATTCAAATCCGAACCTTAAAGAAAGATGAATCGAGATGACGCGGCAATTAGGCCGTGGAAGTGTCCGAGGAGGTGCGAAAAAATCGATGAAGTCGAGGTTGAGAAAAGTGTCGGCCTCGTCCTCGACCTCGACCTCGACCTCAATGTAATAGCTGACGTTGACAACATAGGCGACAACGAAAACTATAGTCCGATATCGAGCGATGTGACGTGCGAGCCGACGGTAACGGGACAACATAGTTCTCCGTTAGCGTTCCTTAAAACCATCGAAACTCGGATCTTTTTCGACAGGTTCGACGATGATCGCAAGCGGGCAAAGCGAGCGTTGCGATCGAAATTCGA